AGAGAGAGAGAGAGAGTTCGACGAATACTTCCGCCGTGCGGAAACGCAAAGCGGAATTGTCGACATTTCTCTCCCCTTCGCGCCTCCCGCCTAAACTCGACAACACCCTCATCCGTTTTCTACAACACAATCATATTTCACAACACAATTAATCCGGGTGCTGGCTAACGCAACGTTCTCTGTTAAGACACGTACAATTACAAGCCAACTTTTCTACGAGAAGGCAATATTCGGAATCGTTTTGAAAGCGGGATCGTTATCCGGACTTTATCTCGGCATATCCGAGTGAATTTTTCAGATTTTTTTCCAACGGGAGAATCGGCTCGATGATAATTTGACGATTTATTAAATTTGCGCGATTACACGTCACTTCATTTCGATAATATAATCTTGTGTGCATATTCCCCGTATCGCGAATAATCGGAATAGCTCAGAATTAATTAATTTCGTTTCGTCGAGCAGATAAATACAGTCGGCGATAACGGATAGAGCTTATCTAACCGGAATATATCCGTGTTACATCCGTTATTTGGGATTAACACGAGCGCCGACATCCTTCTCGCGCGCGTTCCGTCAAACCCCGCGAGATTATCCTTGTACGCTTTCAATCTCTCGCGGAATTTCATATTCCTGTCGCTGCCGAACGTTATCCGGAAAGATCCCGATGGTATTGCAATTTATAGCGATCGTCACGTTGACGGAATTAAGTCGTCCTTTCAACCCAGAATCCCGAAGAAAGAGCGCGCGTTCTTTCCTTTCCTCTCCAGCCTCTTATGTCTTTCGAACATATTAGCTGTCTATTTTTTTTAACAAAAAAAAAAAAAGAAGAAGACCAGAAAAGAGGACGCTCGTATAACACCATTAACTTTTATCACGTGTATTGCGTTTGTGTAATGTATACAGTATCTCTCTAAATCTGTGTGCGACAAATTGTAAAATCCTCCTATCTTTCTTCGGGCGCATAGGCCACGACAAAATAATGATGTAAATCATGAAAATTTTCTCTGATTCTTCCCCTAGAGAAACCCGTGGCCCTACACAATCCTGGGAACAAAATCAATCGGAACAACGGGACACGGAGGATGCATCGATGGAGCAACAGAGACCGGCAATCGTCCTACTTCCGCAACGGTTTTAGATTTCTATGCTGCGCCGCGAGCACTAATTACGTTTAACGTACATATAATTCATTTCGATTCATTAAAACGTAATATAGTTCCGATTGTATGAATAATTAATATGCACCGATATTTTCGCAGTGATTTTGATGCTAAATTCCCTGAAATAAAGTCAATAGGAATCAATCGGCGGTTTTCGGCTCGAAAGAGACGGGCTTCGCGGAGAAGAGATCCCGTTTACATAAAGTATCCTGAGAAAGATGTATAGCACTACGGCGGTTTATCCTCGAAAGAACCTCAGATTGCTTCTTCTTCGACGGTACTTTAATATCGCGTCTCTCCACTTATCGTAATATCTCAATTATTTTCCACATCATTAATATACGTCTCTCTTGGGATACTCTCTCTGGGAAGGCAACGGATAAAAAGCGTCGCAACGATAACGTCGATACACCTCGAGGCCTAACCGAGAGGCCTAAACCTATCCCCCGCTTGAGAAAATATATCCTTGGAACAAACTTTTAACTCACGTATAGCTGGTGACAATCAAAGTAGAAAGCTCGAGAACTCTAATACCGAAAATTATTTGCAAGTCGCGCCGCGTCGGACACAGATGGCGGGAAGGATGGATAAGAAAGGAAAAAAGGGAATTTCAGCACCTTTTTACGTCTTTCAGCAAGAATTCTAGTGGCACTCGATATTGCTCCCATTTTTTTGGACGTTCTTCTATTCTCTCCTAAGAATCTCCCTGCCCCGTTAAATTTTCAATTCGCGGACAAAGGGACTTCGGAAAGCGCCCTTCGTTCGAGCCCACTCGAAAAATCGTTTCATCAATCCCGCTACGATTGCTCGCAATTATGCTAACTCCAGAATTTTCCTTCAATTCAATAAAATCTCTCGCGGCGATCGATTTTCCCAGTTCGTTCAATGCGTTCGCGATCTGTCGATCGCATCGCGAATCTGATAATCGATGATTTTGACAAAAGCTGTGTCGCTCGTAATCAAAACTAGCTCGTAATCTCCGATCGGATCTTAAATATAATTCCCGGTATATATTACGGAATTCTAGGCGAAACACGTACGAATATATCATCAGAGAATAACGCATCTCTATGTCGAGTCAAAGCGGTAGATGTCTACGTTGTGGAGCAATTATAATATTCTAGCGTATTTACAAGTGAGTGGACCAACCTCGATCTATTTATAACGCGCGATGGACGCGCACGCATTGTAGCCCTAGAGTACGCGCGTTTCGCATATCTCGCCTATATATTATATATATATATATATATATATATATTATATATATATATATATATGTGTGTATATAGAGATCGTCTACAAAGCAATACATCGTAGGAGATACACAGGCGGAGAGAGAAACGTTGCGCGCGCGAGAAGCAAAATGTGCATATGTATAAATGAATATAGATGAATATAGCGCGTCCACTACATTACTCTCTCTCTCTCTCTCTCTCTCTCTCTCTCGCGTCAAAGATATACAGCGAGAAGCACCATCGCGTTACGTCGTAACTTTTAATCCGAAACAGTCGTCATATTATATTTAACAGGGAATAAAAGAGAAGTGGAAGAAGGACACTTCTCCAAGCTTTAACGAGGAACTCTTATTTCGGAAGGTCGCGTCTGGCGCGCTTTAATTTTGCGACGATGAATCCCCAGACGTGATATCATTAATGTAAAGAGGATATTTTTGTATTTTTCATGTAAAACTAAAACATTACCGTTTCGGGTTAACAGCGATACTGCGACGACCAGCCAACGGATGTCTATGAAGAAAGAGAGAGAGAGAAGAGATCGATACTTTGACAGAGCGTCGAACAACCGTATACATTTACGACCGCAATAATGTAACGTAAAAGATACGAGATATTTTGTTACTTTCTCTTTTTATCGAATATTCCGACATACTTTTTTAAAAATATTCCCCCCACGATCGCGCACCTTTGAGTCTCTCCTATGTTAATTATTACGTTCACCAAGTTGTCATACGTGATATCTCAAACGGCGGCTCGATTGAGTTGTTACGTATGCAAATTAGATTAAGATTGTACAATGCGCGCAAAAAAAACAGGAGAGAGTGACTATTATATTTTATATGAGCGTCGCGTATCGATGGAAAAGCATAGAAGCCGGTTTTGCTGCGCGAAAAGAACAGTTCTCCTCAAGCATCTAAAAATAAGGCCAGATACAGATCTGAAAATAATTTTGCTGGGCCATCGAAATAATTTTGTAGCACGTTCAAATTGATTGTTGGAATACTCAAAAACTATCATCATCATCCTTAAGTGTCCTATAATTTTGATCCTGATAATTTTGATGGTCCTGATAATTTTGATAAAATTATTTTCAGGTCCGTACCTGATCGAAATTTTAGATACTTCAACAAAACAATTCCTCTCCGTGTGCGAAACAATGGCGTGGAAGAATGAACGATCAGCGTATTGCTCTTCTCCTATTCCAAGTGACGCGAGATTGTGACGTTCGATTAAATTACACATATCAATTATGATCGGGATCGGAAACACGATCGACGATCCCCGATCGGGTCATTTACCTAATAACCGTTAGCCTCGGGATGTTGTGCATGGAATAATCGAATTCGAATCGTTTCTATCGAAAAGCGGCCATTCTTGAACGTCCGATTGATCCGAGTGGACGATTGTATCACTTCTCGTATTAGCGATTCGATCATTTCTGCGTTCCTTTAGTCCTATCTATGGTGCAAAAAAGGGACCGAACTACTCGAATATTTCACTTCGTCGAATTTTCGTTTGAGGGAACATTAATAAAAAAAAAAAAAGAAAGAAAGAAGAAAAGATATTAGCGCTGATATATCGTATTTTTAGGCAATAGCGAAGAGAGATGTGAGCGTTAGAAACCGACTCAAGCTCGTAAAGTGGCGCGAATAGCGAAATCAAATTATAATAAAATATAATGTATTATGTTGACGAAATAAACTTGAATCGTTCGACTCGAATTGATCGTCATTGCGTGTTACAACCATCTTTTAAACCCTTTTTCTTTTTTATGTATACTGGGTACGCCAGAAGGAAAGATCAATATTCTGGAAAGCCACGAAAAGAATGGTGTTGAAGTGTCTAAAAAAGTTTAGACAGATACAGATCTGAAAATAATTTTGTTGGATCCTCAAAATTATTATGTAGAATGTTTAAGCATGATAAAACTGTAAAATTTTTTACTAATCTGACAACTTATTTGAATGTCCTACATAATCATTTTAATGAATTAATAAAATTATTTTCAAACGTATTTGACTAAATTTTTAGATACTTCAGCAAAATTGTTCTTTTCATATTCGTATCATTCGTATCATTCTAAGAAAAATAATCTTTATTTAATATTAAACATATATTCCCATTCCCCGAACGGTTTCTAAAGTGGAGCTATTTGAATATTGGAAAGTTATTAATAAAATATATTGCGTAATGCTTTTAATTTTATTGTTCGAATAAAAAATTTAATACGTTTAAAATAAATTTTTAATTGAAATTGAATATGTGAAACGATCTACCCGATTATATGGAAATTATTGTCGAATAAATCTCAGTGGGCAATCCGCCATGTTCTCATACGAAAAATATATTGATATTGATAATAAATTTTTGAAAATTCATTATAAAGTGTATTAATCATATGACCAATTGAATTAAAAACAACATATAACATTTTTCATTAATAATTTTTCCAACAAAATTCTCAAAAACTTGTATATATATATATATTTAAACTTGGATATATATTTTTAATCAAATTTAGAGAATTAATTAAGTTTAATGAGGATACTTCCTATGGATTTCATAAGGGATAAAAAATTCTGATAAAAATTACTGTTTATTTCGATCAAAACGAATCGCACTTTATAAGCAATTTTTAAATATTTATAAAGTCCGAAATTGGGGACGCAGAAGGTTAATCCTCGACAAATTTAAAAAGTTCTAGAAAACTGTAGAAAAAAGGCTCACTTAAAAAAGATTATTTTACATTCTTGTCCACATTCTTGTCCGCATTCTCCTCCTCTTCCTCCTCTTCCTTCTCCATTTTCCATTTCGCACCGTCGTTGAATTAACACACGCGGAAATTCGTAATCAACACCAACGCAATTAATACTGAAACGCAATAAGAAAAGTAAAATCGCGTTAGAAATCCGAGACGCGTCGCGAATACTGAACGCGAATTCATAAGCAGACCCTAGCGACATCTCGCGTGCGCGCGGCGAACCCAATTCGATTGTCTTCAGGGAATTTAGCTATTTCGTCTCATCTGAATCTAAATTGTAATCGATAACATCGCACTTTATTACTTTTTGGATTCCAAACTCTATTATCTTTTTATATATGTGTAATTATTAAATTGTTTAAATTAAATTTCATGTCACGAGTATTTCAGCACGACGAGTTTGTCTCATTTTACGTCACCTCGCGCAGCAGGGCGTACCGACTTACTAAACTCCATTACTAAAATCTCACTAGATGCGGCGATACGCGATACCTCCTGTCACATTCGCACGATACGTACGATTCCTACATTATTCCATTATATAATGGTGGCTGCGTGAGGCTCATACCTTTATTTCGTTTTCCAACCGCTGCTGAGACTCGTAGAAATGTCTGTTAGTCGAATAATTGTGAGTAGATACTCATTGCAATATTAAATCATTTTCAAATCGCATACTTCGAGATCACTCAATTTTCAAGTGGTTATATATGCATGAATATATTTTTGCCTGTATTATGTATGTAATAAAATATCTGTTACTTGAGCAACATACATTATATGTTTTTTGTTATGTGTTTCGATCGTTTGTCAATGATTTGAATGATTTTTCAGGCTCGTACCTTTTCCACATCGCCTGCCGCACAGCAGTTGGTGAAGGTATTCAATTTTTTCAGTTGACAAGTATTATATTTCTGTATGAAGCTCACGAGTTAGCCCTATAAACTTTATGAAAATTACTTTACTTTGATTTTCTTTTTGATTGCCTCTAATGTTTCATAATGCCTATGAGTTTTATAAACAATTATTTATATACATACCTGTATATAGTGCTTTACCTTATTTTATGTATTATTATAGCCTCCTATTCAAGTCTTTGGACTAGAAGGCAGATATGCCACGGCTCTTTACTCAGCTGCATCCAAACAGAAGGCTTTGGACACAGTAGAGAAGGATTTAATTAGTTTTCAAGTATAATTTATATGAATGAAAATTTATATTTATGTATTAAGTATGTTTATCTTAATATGAACTTGTGATTATGTTTAAATCAGGGTCTCTTAAAAAAAGATGCTGCGTTCGTAGATTTTATAAAGAATCCTTCGATAAAGCGAAAAGATAAAGTGGAAGCTTTCAAGGCTATTGGAAAGAAGGCTAATCTGAATCCAGCTACAGAAAATTTATTGACATTGCTTGCGGAGAATGGCCGATTGTCAAAAATCAATGTAATCATCAATCTATATAAACAGCTTATGGCTGCTAACAGGGGAGAGGTAGTGTGCGAAGTTATTACTGCAATTCCACTTGATGCCGAATTGAAGACAAAACTTGAATCGACACTGAAGCGTTTATTGCAGAAGGGTCAAACTATCTTACTCACTACTAAAGTAGATCCTTCCATCATTGGAGGTATGATAGTGTCGGTAGGTGATAAATATGTAGATATGAGTGTCGCTAGTAAGATCAAAATGTATACTGACCTCATTCAAGCTGCAGCATAATAGCAAAAAATATGAAGTAATGAAATAAATTTATTCCATACTCATATAGACATATTGGAGTGTCATGTACATTATCAGTAAATAAAATGTACAATCAAGTAAACTAAATCTTTTAGGCTATTATTCCTTGTATTGTATGGATGTTAATAGGAAAATATATGAGTATGTCGTTCACTTTTAAATTGTGATTTTATTTTCTGTAAAGCATCAAGTTTGATACAGTTACATAAATGTTTAATTATTCGTTAACAATAATTTATATTTAACTCTTATATTTACTCTTCGTATCTTGCAATATATTAGTGATGTATGATAAAGTGACATACTTTAGAACCACACAGTATAAGATTTTCATGTGTTACATGTTGTGTTTCTCTGTTTCTTCCATTCATAAAAAAAAATATATCACAAGCCAAAGACAAAAACAAGTAATAAGTAAATACTAGTGTAAAAAATACTTTTAAGCCTAGTGTCTCAAGAAACACTATTTGTCCAGTGCAAAGCAGTTTATAAAATTATAATATATATTAATAATATGTCAATGATGAAAGTCTAGATTTACATAAAACTTTTGCCAAATAAAAGTAATAACAATATAATAAGATATAAGATATGATCAAGTAAGGATGATATATCATACCAATGGTATATCTTTATAGATTTGAAGTGTAAGATATGTAAAAATATTATTTGATTATGCAGAATATGTGTTGAATACAACGTTATATACCTGAGAATTGCATTATGCATAGCTTTTCAAAAGTAAGAAAAATGTATATATAAATATAAATGTTATATATATTTCAACAAATCATAACTTTAAATAATTACTGACCTTAGGTACTTGCCAACTATATTAAAAAATAAAATTAATTTGATTAATTTTACTAAACATTTGATTCGTAAAAGGTTACATTCTTTAAGCACACAAACAATAATTATGTTAAAACTGAAACAGTGACTAGCATTATTTCCAATTTCCGCAAAATATAATTGTTTTCTAATTGCATGTCTCAGAACTTAGATGCATATTATTTTATAATTCAATATGCTTGACATTACATTCGTAATATGCAAAACAGAATATTTCGAACAACGTTTTTTCTATTTCAGTCAATAATTTATATATTGTCTCGTTTACTAAACGCCGACAGAATAAAAATTTATCTCTTTCACGATTAACAAAATGTGTGTATCTTCTGTACAAGAAAAAATAGAGAAAGAGTTACTTCAAAGTAACTCTTGTTTTCATATGCAATTATCTAATTATTTTTTAATAATATATTAACATATGTACAAAATGTGGCTTTTACGTACAACGTTTGCTTAAAACATAGCAATCGATGGTATATCATCCTTAACTAAGACCCAATCTTCTTCTTCCTCAAGAATAGCAGATGTAGCACATTCCTTTGCCAAGACTGTAAGTATATCGAATTATTTATTATATTCATAGCCGACTATATATTACATAAATATCACGCATTCCCAATAATTTTTCAATTACCTACCGTTAAATTGATGTTCTAATTCATCTCGATTCATGGGCGGCATTTGTCGAATATCGATGAAATTATTACCAGCTGGTGGCGTGTCATCCAGATTATTTTGTAAAAGATTCTTTCTGCATTCTCCAAGATCTTCTAATCGCTTTAATTCAGTACGATAACTGACATCTTCCTCCCCCGATTCAGTTCCTGTGTGATCACTCTGTTCAATATTTTCATTTTCCTCGTTTGTAGATAGTTCTCCGTTTGTCGCATTATTGGAATGTACATTACAATTTATACATGTTATAGTGTCGATACGATTAGATATCGAGTTATCTTTATCTATTCGATTACTCGTCATATATTTGGACAAGTCAAAATCCAGAACATCCGCTAACAATTTTTCTTTATTCTCTACATCTCGTTGAATCATTTCTAAATCTCGATCTGATTTTAATATAAAATCATCATCGAAGCTCAATTGCATCAAAGAGGAATGAGTTGTCGTTGTCTTATTAGCGTTCATATGATCAGCCATTAGGCTGGTCGATAGGTGATCACTGTTGCTATCTGGCATTACGATACTTCCGCTTCCGTTCATTATTTTATTTCGAGACCTTTTTTGCTTCCTTTCAGGTGTGAAAACGACATCCTCGAATTCCTGTTGACCGATTTTTTGAAATATCTCGCGACGATCATTGCTCTTTATGTCTTCCGCGTTTCTTATTCTGCTAGTATCGTTATATTCCAGTATTTTATTAATATCCGTTACAAGTGGAGTATTTAACTCTATTGGAACTATCGGTGGCACTTCCACAGCTTCCTCTGCATTTGCAATCGCATTGGTGTCCAGTTCATTGGTAGTACCAGTAATAGTTGGTACAATACTACAATTTTCATTTATTTTTCATTAAATCATATTGAGAAAATGATTAATTTTTAATTTTAATACATAGTTAATATATTAACAATGTACATAATTTATTACAGAAAAGATTGTTATTTACTTACCTTACAGATTGAATAATGTTGGTTGGGTTGATTTTGGGAAAGGGAATAGCTGGCACTATATTACTTTCTTTCAATTTTGAAGTTAGTTCTAATATACCATTAGCAACAGGCTTACTATATTCAGCGAATGATAATAAAGGATCCAATGTCCTTCTCGTTTCTTCTGTAAGATAAAGAATTCAACGATATTCAATGAGAACTTTTCATCTAATCTGAATACGATTACGCTTACCTGTAAAAATATTATTCTCAGGATAATAGGCAATTCGCAAAATATTTCTTTCTCCTTCCAATATAAATATCTCGTCTTTCGTGCAAGCTACATCAGTAACGCGCCGTAAATCATTCACGATCGATGTTATTGCGATAGTATTTGGATTTACTACATAGACTACATCATCACAGTACGTTACTAATAAATCATCACAAAACGGTAATACGATGCCGAACGAAGGCTCGCCGCGATTTCTTCTTGATCCTTCAGGTGCGGGATTCAGTAATGCCACTTCTGTATGACTCGATCTAACGGCATCCTTTTTAAAATATTCACAATTTGATAAGTTAAAATGACAATAATTATATTGATAAGTCCAATGTGAATGCATATGTATTAGCATGGTACCTTAAATATGAGCGTTTTCAGTACAGTTCCAATCTTATCAGCTTGCCATAAACGTAAACCTGGTCTACTTGCATAGATTACCGGATCTTGCACATAATTCTGTCGAGAACCAAATACCGCTCCTAGCTTACCTAATCTAAAGCACCAAAATATTATTTAAATATTATTTCTTTAATTTAGACTGCAATGAGTATGAAAATACTAACGTTTTACGTTCCTTTTGGCCAACTTGTGTCACCTTTCCATTTTCATTTCTATTTACTAAAATTGTACGTAATGTTGTCGAGACTAGCAGTAAACCTTGTTGATAGCTCAATTGTACCACAGAATATTTCTCATTTAATAATTTGGACGATTTAGATAAATGCTACAAAAAAAGAATATAAAAATGTATGAGACATATATATTTATAAAAAAATAAGCATTAAAGGATAAATTCTTATGATATTTACTTACCATATAAAAATCAATCTCTGTTAAAACTACTAAACCATCTTTATCCCCACTAAATAATTTCATACCATTCTTAGACCATTCTACCGCTGTCACTGCAGTATTATGCAAACCACTTATACTATATCTTTCCACCTTGCAAACAATATAAAAATTGATTGTTTCTATATTATAAATTAATTTGAGAAGTTGATTTTTTTATAATTTACCTGTTTCTTCTGTTTTGGCTTCAAACTGTTCGGCAATGAGTCTGGTGGATTCTTGGGAATTTGAAAAACTGTAACAACACCATGTTCATTGCCTGCTGCAACCATAAAATCAACTGTTGAGATTACTTGTATACTTGTGATTTTGGAATTTATATTCTGCAATAGAAAAAAATCATGTTACTTTAATGGATTGATTGAGATTGAATATTTTAATAGGAAAGTAAAAATTCCTAAAAATCTTTCAAGTACCTCGCAACGTAGTCTCTGCAAATCCTGTTTCTCTCTGTTGTACCAGTAAACAAGTCCATGATTAGTTCCAATGGCGATAAACTCGGTCAGGGCATCGATGCAAGTGAAACTAATGTCTTGTGTGAAAATACCGTTTTGTATCTTGGCAGGTATCTGTTGCAAGAGGACAGCAAGCGGTGCCCATTCTCTCAAGGGCCCACCATCCTCACACATAGGTGTTGTCATTGTCGCTACATTTCACAGTGATATCTTTTTTTTAATCATCATGAAATAGAAAATATATAAATATAAAAATTCATCACCGCAATCGTACGTTGACACGTGAAAAGATATACGTGGCAATATAACCTTCTTTATAGAACAATACAAAATTTTCTAAGCGCACAAGCGCTGCATTATCGCTGGGCTATCACTGCGGACGATTGCGAGACGTTCGAGCATTTTTGACATAAGAAATTAAGTTACTGTGAGACATAATGTAAAAAGTACCTCCGTTTCGGTTGTAACGAGGGATGGAAAGCAAATTACGGAGTTCAATCGACGTTCCTCTTTCTCTCTTCCTTTTTTTTCTTTCTATCGCTTAAACGCTACGTTTCCTTCTGCCTGACACAACATGAGAGTCTCATTACGGATAACCGTACGCGATTACGATGTATGCACGGCAGTGCACAGTGCTGTAACCGCATACGTGCCTATTGACATCCCCAAGCGAGCGAATGTGAAAACACACGCGCCCTCCATCCAAATTCTCTCTCTCTCTCTCTCTCCTCTCTCTCTCTCTCTCTCTCTCTCTCTCTCTCTCTCTCTCT